GTGTGTGTGTGTGTGTGTGTGTGTGTGTGTGTGTGTGTGTGTGTGTGTTTGAGAAGAGAAGGAGAGAGGGGGGAGATGAATGTGTGTGTACATGTATGTACATGTGTACACCTGTGTATGTGGTGCCCAGAGCAAAAGAAGGTATCAGTCAGAGCCCTTGAAGCTAGATAGAGTTAAAGAACTTTGTGACCCACACAAACTGAACTCCAATTCTGATAGAGCAATAACGTTCTTAACAGCAAACACTTATGTTTATTAAAATAAATAAACAAATCTTAAAAAAAAAAAAAAAAAAAAAGCCAGGCAGTGGTGATGCACGCCTTTGATCCCAGCACTTGGGAAGCAGAGGCAAGTGGATCTCTAAGTTTGAGGTCATCTTGGTCTACATAGTGAATTCCAGGGCAGCCAGGACTATACAGAGAAACCCTGTCTTGAAAAACAAAAAAAAGAAAGAGTAGTCTGTTTAGAACCTTCTCCCTCCCTCGGGGGTACCAACGGTGAGATTAGTGATAGAGGCCAACTTAGCTAGCAGTGGTATGATGAAGAAAACGATGCTTGAAAACAGGAAGCAGTGCTGTTGATGACATGTCTAAGGTAGAGATAGTGGACCCTGGGCTCACCCTGGCTTCTTGGTCACCTTCATTCCCAGGGCAGCTATTTCCAGGCAGTTTCTTCAGTATTCTAGAAAGTTTGAGGGATTGGATCCAAGTGAAGTTCACTTGTAAGTAAAAGGATGAATACATAGCTACAGAGGAAAAGAAGGGAAGGGAAGAACAAGGAAAACTGCTGTATCACTTTAATAGTTTCTGTCTGGTTTCTTGTAGCATCCATTCTAAAGAGATCTTCCATTCTCTGACAATCTCTTTCTCTCGATGCTGGGAATTCCTTCTCTGGATGGATCCATCCAACTATGGTGGAATCAAAGGAAAAGTTCCACCCAGTATTTACTGTGGACAGGTAAGATAGCTGGGTATGGTTCCACATATATTTATGTAGGGCCACGTTCACCCCTGTGGCAGGTACTGTTTTCCTAAGGCTTCTCATCAATCAGAAGAAGCAAAGAGCTGACTCCACCCAGTTCATCAGCTTATAGGAAATGTTGGGAGCACAGTGTTAGCCCTAGTGGGGGCAAAAAGCTTCCCATGAGGCAGAAACTGGCCAAATTCATGGAAAAGAGAGGGGTAGGGTTAGCCGTGGAAATACTGACAAAGCCAGATATGGCAAGAGAGCAACACACCCTGGGAGTTAGAACAGCTCAGGCACATGGGTGCCTGGGCAATAGTTTTAGGTGCTCACATTGCCCACTTTTTGCACAGGATAGGGGTCAACGTTAGTGGAAATGGAAATTCTGGCATTAACTTAGTCCTCTGAGACTAATAAACCACAAGGGGTCGGGTTGCCCAGGAGAGTTGGCTCAGAGGTTAAGAGCATTGGTTGCTCTTCCATAGGTCCTGAGTTCAATTCCCAACAACCACATGGTGTCTCACAACCATCTATAATGAGGTCTGGTGCCCTCTTCTGGCATAAAGGCAGAACACTGTATACATAATAAATCTTTAAAAAAATACAAATAAGCCGGTTGTGGTGGCGCACACCAGTAGGATTTGCTGAAGGAGGCAGAAGCAGGAAGATCATGAGTTCAAGGCCAGCCTGGCCTACACAGTTTTGGAAAAGAAAAATAAAATAAAAATAAACCACAAGGGGAATAAAGCAGGCAGTGTCAATTTAGGGGAGGGATGCCAATGCAAAGCTATGAAAAAGCAGGGTCCAGGAGCTAGCAGGTATGAGCCATACCTGGGTGAATGAAGGTTGCAACCAAGAGCCATGTGAAGGAGGAGGTGTGGCATTGGTGAAAAGGAGACAGGTGACCGCCTTATGCTAGAGTAATACCCAAGGAGTAGGCTGAGACAACAGACCTTTGTTCTCCATGTAGTCCTCACAGAAGGCTAGAAGGAGAAGCACTGGAAAGCAGGAAGATGAGAAGCTGTGGTCTCAAAAGTCAGAGAAGCTGGGGGACATGGTCAAGGAAGGCTTCCTTAGCGTCATGGCTCAAAGGTCAGGACAGTAGCAGTTCTAATTAGAGTTGAGATTAGGAGATAGACTTTACTGAGGGAAAAAAGGAAATGTGTCCATCAGGATAATAGCATAGTGTTAGTGTCAACTTTTCCCATAAACTATTATAGACGTTAAATTCACCGTGGTAGGAATCACAAGCGTACAGTCAAGTTGAGCCTGTGGGAAAATTGTCACCAACACAAGAAGAGATTCTTCTTTGTGAGATGGATTCTGATTGTGTGGCTTGAGCTGGCCTTGAATTCCTCATCTCCAGTGGCTCTTGGCCTTGGCATCCTGAGTATGGAGCCACAGATTCAAAGCACCACTCCCAGCTAAAGGAGAAATCCAGAGGAAGAAGCTGGTCACTGGGAAGTTGTGGTTAGTTAGCCACAACTCCTATTGGGAGAGGAAGTTGGTTAATTTTAAAGTATAAACGAAAACCACAGTTCCCAGTCATGGAGCAGTTAGACGTGCTCCATGGAGCATTGGTCTTGCAATATGAGCATCCAGAAGATATAAGCTGAAGGAGTCCTGGCTCCCATGTCCTGTTACTGTATATTGTTGCCATGGTGGATGTGTGTTATTGTGTTGCAGCAAGGCTCTCAGGCAAGGGAAGAAACTGAGGATGAGGAAGACATGGAAAAGGATGAGGAGGAAGAGGATCTGGAGGAATCTGAGGTTGAGGACTTATTAGAGAACAATTGGAACATTCTGCAGTTCTTGCCACAGGCAGCCTCTTGCCAAAGCTACTTCCTCATGATTGTTTCAGGTGAGTCAAGCTAACACTGGACAACCGAGTTACTAAAAGTAGTTCTGGTTCCTTGTGTGGAGAGGAAAATTGGAAAGTCCAGCTTAGTAGGGCTGCTGCTTTCTTTACTTGTTTCAGCATAGGGACCTGAGGACAAATAATAGAAGGGCTCTCTGTCTTTTCTCTAAGCCTCCTGAGCAGCTGCCCCTAAGGGTATCCCAAAAGTGTTTTCCTAGTTCTATTTCTTGTAGGTTCATGGCTAACATACCTGGGAATATGTGCATGTACACACAGTAATGAGGCTAGCCTCTGGGGCTTCACTAACTAGGAAACTCTTATACCTGAAAGTGTTTGTAGACCTGGTTATCATGTTCGGTATGCAGGTAAGCATAAAAATTAGAC